CCCGTGTCCCTCACGTGTTCATCTGGCTGAGGTGCTGCGCCCGTGTCCCTCACGTGTTCATCCGGCTGAGGTGGTGCACCCGTGTCCCTCACGTGTTCATCTGGCTGAGGTCTGTCAGCTCTCAAGGTCTCCTGTGCCTCTTCGTGGCTGTCGGCTGCCCTGCCGCCCACCACTGTCCTCCTGTCATTTGTGTGGATACTCAGATGATCTGTCCTCTGACCATCAGCGCCCCTCAGCCTGGCTCCAGGATAACTGGACGTGGCCCTAGCACTCTGACCACTTCTTCACGTTCAGACAGAGAAGGTTCCCTTGTATAGTCCTTTCTCCAGCCCTGGAAGCAGCCATTTCTCCAAGAAGCCTGGTGCCTTGTAGTGGAGAATAACTGAAAACAATATTCAGGGGCTCTGTCCATGCCAAGGCGGACTCCATTCTTGATTTTGATACAGGTTTAAAGATAAATTGAAGATCGTCAGAAAATTCATCTTTTGTGTTACTGCATAGGAGATGAATACCATAATGCGTACAGGCCACACAATAAACATTTGACGTGGAAGTGGAGAGATGGGAAGCAGGGGCAGGAAATGATGTTTTGCCTCCACAGCGAGTTCAGCCACTCAGACTTACTCTCACATTCGGCAGCTTGTCAGAAACTAGACTAGATGGTGATGTAGGGCAGTAACAATCCTTGGCCACTCAGGTGGCATCGTCACTGGACTAGCCATTTGGAAACATCTTCTTGATCTGAAGAAGGTGAGCATATACTCCAGCCACTGGGGGGAATGGTGTCCTAGAAGGATGTTTGTCAGAGCTCCAGTCTGGAAAGAACCAGATCGCCCACGGGCGTAGAATGGCCAGGGGACCACTTTCACCTGGAGCACTGCAGTCAGGAGTGACAGCGTGTGAGGCAGAACTGCAGCCTGCCTCGGCGTGGACGGAGCCCGCCTCGGCGTGGACGGAGCCCGCCTCGGCGTGGACGGAACCCGCCTCGGCGTGTCGCTGTGGACGGA